GCTAACTTCTAGCAATAAAAACTAAATCTGCTGAGTGACCAAAATTTGAATTTTGTTTCTAGTACAAGTCTAGAGAAACAGGAAATAAAATCAAAGCAAGACTGTCTGGAGTATTCACTCCAAAGTATATTGCATCACCACTGCACACAATGTGAGCATGTGGACCAGAGGGGTGTCATACACCAGAGTTTTATTTTGGGAGTTCTCTGAAAGTGGAAATATCACTATAAAATCTGTTTCACCTAATATTTATCTTATCAACTGAGCCAAAGAAAGTGACAATTTTCCTTATTTTTATGTGTTTTATTTTGAAGCACCTAGTATAGAACTCATGCCCTTGCACATGCCAGTAAAGTGCTCTATCAATGTAATATTTTCTCCGTTCAACTAATGGATTTCAAAGGATTACTACTAAACTAGCAATGACTCAAATCAAGAGAATTGCTGAAGCAATTGTATCCTGGCCATAGAGCATGAAGAAGACATGCTAAGAAAACCACTTCCCTGAACATTAAAACAAACATAGCTTCTTCTTTCATCCCAATGTTAAATTGTTCCTATTTCCAAGAACTAACTACCATTAGATCTTATATTTCTGTGCATGTCTCTGTTGCTACACTTTGAAAGTTTGGATTTAACTAGGTCTAACTGAATGTGTTCTTTTAGATAATGATTCAATTAAAGCTCTCATTCATAGAGTGATCTATTACAGACTTGCAGAGTTGAAGACCTTTGAGCTCAGGGAGACTTCCACTCAGATTGTAAAAAAAAAAAAAAAAAAAGATTTCAGAGTCCAGGAAAGTAGACCCTGAATAGACCAAACAAGGCTAGAGAATGAAGACCCCTAGGCATTTGGAGATGAGGAGGTCATGGAACATCTCCCAGGGAAAGACAGAGGCACTAAGAACAGTCAGCCCAAGACAGCCACCCGTGGGCTGAAAGTGACAAGCCCCACTGTGGATGGGGCAGGGGAGAAAGCTCAGTAGAACAAGAGCTTGCCTGGCAAGCACAAGGGCCTGAGTTCAATCCCTGGTTCCACCAAAAAAAAAAAAAGTCTCAGCTCTTTGGAACACATGTTTCACCATAATGTACTCTGAGAGGTACACATGGAACCATGGGAATTAAAATTAGTGCTGCTTTCATTTTATCATTATCTTGCTTTGATGCAATTCCTGGCCCTCTTTCTTCTGTTTTGGAATGGCTATTGTATATTGGAATTCTTTAATTTTGTTTTTTTTTATTTTTATATAAACTAACAGCTAAGAGTTTCCCTGGAGTCTTAGAGGATGCTTTGGACTTCAATTTTTCAGCCGTTCTGTAACTGTTGTTACTTTTGCAACTTTTAGAAATTGAACACCAAATATAGACTGCTATGTTTTAGAGCTAAAATGTTCCTCAAGTTCTTATGTGCTCAGAGGTGTGGTTTTTGGAAGATGGTTAGATTATGAGCATATCTCATCAGTGGCTTGATCTACCGAGGAGGCCAGAGCTGCACGTGTCATTTGATGGTGGGTGCTAGTTGGAGGAAGTAGGTCCCTGGGAGTTCCATCTGTAAGGGTACATTGTTGTCCCTAGGTCTTTCCTTCTGTCTGCTACCGGGCAGTCAAGTGCTCCTCAGCCATTCTCATCATGTCCTCGTACCATGCTGCATCTCCTTAGAGGCAGACAACAAGCATGGACTGAACCCTCTAACACTGTGAACCAAAGTAAACTTCTCTTCTGTTAACTTGCAGGCATGAGATTTCAATCCCAATGATAGAAAAGTCACCAATACAAGGAATAAAGCAAAAGAAGACAACATGAAACTGTATAGAGTGTCAGTGGAGAGAGACACTATTGACAGGAAAACTGTTGGGAAAAGGTGCGTTGGAAGCCACACAAGACCTCGCTCAAGTTAGATGTCATGAAAGGAGGAATTTATTGGTGGCAACTAGCATGAGCCAGGCTGCTCAGCGGACCTGAACAGCAGTGATGGCTGGGGAGGCAGGCACTTTACAGAACCTGCAGGAATGGGGAAGGGGAATCATTAAGTGTCCTTCTCTGGGCCAGGGTGTTCTGGGCAGGTGGGAGTGGGGAAGGTAAGTCATAAAGTGTCCCTGGCTGGGCCAGGGTGTTCAGGGCACAAAGTATAGAGTCCTTAAAGCAAGCTGAAACAAAGCTGTATGTGTAAGCAGCCGGACGCAGACAGTCAAGGTTAAATCTTTGCAGCAAAGTTGTGGTTCAGACAACTAGGAACATTGGAAGTGATGCGGGGGAAGGGACACATGGCTGGGTGCCTTAACAATTATGACATAGAAGGGAAATACAGCAGTGTCTCCACAGTTGGAGTAGTATGACCCACCTGGAGCCAGAGATGAGACTAGAGACATAGACAGGCACTTTGTTTGCCACGATACAAACTTTGGCTTTACATGAAGGCTTTATCATATTCCTCACGAAGGAATATGAGATGGAACTTCTAAGGAACATCAGTGATTAACTGTGGGATAGTGATGTGATTATCTTTATCTTTTGAGACTTTTATCCTTGCCCATGTTAAAACCAGTAGGAAATGTGTGGATTTACCTATTGAAATAAATGAAAAAATGATGACTGAGAGAAGAGTTTGAAACAATTCAGATCAGATAATTATTTCAAATTTATTTTCCAAGCTTAGGAAAAATTATTTCTTAAAAGTATTGAGGGCCAGCCAGATAGCTTAGTGGATTAAAGTGCTTGCTTAGGCAGAGGCAGGGGCTAGGGTTTGATCCATGCAGGCCCCACCCTTGGGGCATGCTGGGACAGCAATTGAGACTGGGGGTGGTGGCGGACGCTTGTAATCCCAGCACTTGGGAGGCTGAAAAACAGGAAAGATGAATACAAGTCTGATCTGTGTAGTGAGACCCAATAGATTCTGTGCTAAATACATACAAATAAATAAATAAATAAATAAATAAATGTTTAGAAATTTTAAAATTTTAAAATATTGAAAATTAGGATTAAATTAAAAGTAACACTGGATGCTGACATGAATTGGCCTTTCCCAGAAGTTTGGCAAGAGCTTCACACTGTAAGTAAATGACTCTAAGTTGTGAATAAATTATGTCCTCGCCAACAGTTACCCAGAGCTGCAAGGATGAGGCAGCAACAGAGACGTGGCAGGGCTGTGGTGTGCATCTTTACTTGCATGGAAGCAATTTTAGTGGCAGACTTTATAGGATTGACAGATTTTATTCAAAAATACAAAAGAAACTCAGGGGCTGACTATGGAAGGAGAAGGATGTAGTCTACTGACATGATCACTGAAAAGATAAATTGGTGAATTCTTGTTTCTGAAGGTAAATAAAATTGCTCTTCATACCGAGGCAAATGTGATTTCACTTCTAGCGTTATCACCTTTAATTTTTCACAAAATTTCATCTTTTACATCTGACAATATGACAAAATTCTGCTTTTAAGTTATGGAGCAATCATAATTTTTCCTATCAAGTGCAAAGGTAACTTTTTTCAGTATCTTTTTAGGATCCTTTGTTATAAAATGAGAACAGTCAGTCCTTAGTGTCCAAAATTTTATTAATAAATTCAACATGCAATTTAGTGCATCATAGCATATTACAGTCATACTATTAAAATATTAATATACTTGAATAATATAACATGACTTCACAGTAAGATCAGAATTAAGAGAAAAATTAACAAGAAATTATGTAAGATTTGAAGACTCAAATGAACAACATTTTGCCGTTTTGGAACTGAATTGAGGAAAATATTCTTTATATTATATTTGGTCAAGTCCTTCAGAAAATTATTCAGGATAAGTCAATGATTTAAAGTTCTCAATGATTACTCAATCATTCAGAAGAAATTCACTTATCAATATTTTTTTTCCTTTTACTACATTATATTTAAGAAATATAGGGACTACTAAAGTTGCAAAGATAATTCTTTGAAAAACTGCAAAATAACTCTTCAGCACAATTAATTTCCTCAGGGATTCTCACTTTTCACTTTGTTTAAATCATGGGAGCAGGAGAGATGCTTTTCAATTTTCAATGCAAAAGAATTTGCATTCCTTTGGTCACCTTGGCTCCTCTGTTCACCAAAAGCAAACAAAACTTGATGATAAAGAAAATGGGTTGGGCAAATCCTACTAGAGTCCACCTTAAGTCGCCCTTCCTGGGCCCTGAGATGTGGAAGGAAATGGACATGAGGACAGATAGGACGCAGGCCCCTAGTCCAGAGCTCCGCTTTGCTCTTTGGTCCAGTATTTCAGCGCGTTCCGTTTCACTCTGCTCCGGTTCTCCACATTCCCAGCCTGATCCTGACCCAGAAGCTTGCGCCATCGGCCTCACCAGAATTCTTCTTGGGTGGCTTTCTCACTTGTCCCACGTGGTGCCATGCTGAGAAGGTGTGTGCAGAATAGATTTCTCTGTGCCCAGGTTCTCCAGCTACGATTGTCGTTTTATGATTAAAAATCCTAGGGCAATCTGAGTTCAATCCCCGGTTCCGGAAAAAAAAAAAAAAAAAAAAAAAAAAATCCTAGGGCTCATGAGGTCTTCTTCCTATTGTTCCCTGGGGCCTTCTGTAATCCCTTCAGTTCCAGGGATTCCTCTGAAAATACTCTCTTATTGAATTATCTTAAAAATCCTTCATGGACCAGCCAGATAATGTTGAAGCGCCTTCTTAGGCAGATGCAGGGACCAGGGTTTGATCCCTGGCCTGCGGGCGAGCTGAGAGGGCGTTTTAGATTGGGCGTGGTGGTGCGCGCCTGTAATCCCAGCATTTAGGTGGCTGAAAAAACAGGAGGATCACCGCAAGTTCGATCTGTGTAGTGAGACCCTGTAGACCCTATGCTAAATACATTTTTAAAAATCCTTCTTATTTCTTGAAAAACTAATCGATAAAAGGCAGAAGGAAAATGATGAGAAGTTAAATAAGACAGGTCTCAACTTGTTTTGGATAACTTATATATAGGGTCTTTTGGGAAGACAAAAATCAGCAGCTAAATAAGTGAATTCTGCTTGTTTAAGCAGCACATGTACTAAACTTTCGAAGATACACAGAGATTAACAGGATCTTTGTGCAAGGATGACAAACAAATTCATGAAGTGTTCCACGTTTTTTTAGAAACAAATACTGTCTGTGCGGAATTTCTCGGGACTTTTGCTTCCGACTCCTGTCTCGCTTTCCAGTACCCCTGGTTCCTTTGTTAAAAGTAGTAGGCATCTTGTGCTCAGGAAACCTCTAACACCTGCGGCAGCTCAGTCCCTTGCAGTACTCTCCTCTTTCTTCGCCTCCTGGTTCTGCAGTCCGACCTCCCCGACACGCACAGCATCCCAGGGGAGGGTGGGGCTGCCTGTAGTTCAAACTCGGGGGATGCGACGAGGCCAGCTGGCACAGGGGTGGCCTCCACCAGGGCCACATCTCCAGAAACAATTTCCTGCCACCCGTGGAAACGATTCTTCACGCCCGTCGTGGAGGTTTGTCAACCATCCAGGAGGAAAATCAATTGCTAAATACTTCTGTGCCACGAAGGAGACAAATACGGTGTCTAAATTCAAGTGCCTCATGAGCAGGTCACATCTAAAAAAGATTAAAATCCACTCCCAGGCCAAGAACACCAACGAGGAAATTCTGACCTACCTAAAAGCAGCAAAGATTTAAAGCGATTGGGAATTTCCTAAACGGTCACAACCACTATATATTATCTGACTTTTGGAGGGTGAAATTCTTTTGCAAAATTAATGGTGAAAGATTTAGTTGTAGATTTATGGCCAAACATTAATCATTTTTTCTTTTTCTTTTCTTTTTTTTTCTTTTTTACCATTTCTAAGTGAAAAAAAAAAAAAAAAAAAAAAAAAAAGAGGAAGAGGTATAACTGGGTTATGTGCCTATTTCATTTGCTAAGACTGGAATCTTAGGGAATAACACCAGCTTCTGATAAAATATGCCACCAATTTTAAAAGACATACATCTGACTATTTTTCTTCAACTGTTTCATAATTGTCACCCTTCTAATAAACATTAGTTCACCTTTGAGTGAAAAGAAAACTTTAAAAAAATTGACTCGGGGGCCATGGAAATAGCTTAGTAGAATAAGCGCTTGCTTGGCAAGTGCAGGGTCCTGAGTTCAAGCCCCAGTCCCGGAGGTTGGGGGGAGGGAGGAATTCAGAAAGTTCACTGTTCTTTAGGTTGGTCAGTTTTCCTGTGGTTGACAAGAAATAGCTGATATAAACAAGTCAAAGGAGGAAATGGCTTGCTTTGCTCACACCTTCAGAGGTATCTGTCCATCACTGTGTGGTTCCGATGCTGTGGACCTGAGGTGAGGCCGGGCTTCACTGCAGAAGTGGGGTTAGACCAAAGCTGCTTACTTGGTGGCAGAAGAAAGGAAAGCACAGGGGATGCTGCCAGCAAGAGCCATATCCCACAAAGCTGCGTCCTCGGTTATCCACATTTTCCAAATGGGTCCTATCTCCTCACAACGTGTTCAACTATGAACACAAGTGGATTCACCCATGGGAGAGTGTAGCACCCCATGATCCAATCAACTACCAGGAGTTGTTTAATCAATTCAAATTGCAGTTAGGATTGATTGGCACAAGGGTTCACCTTTGTTGAAGTCACTTAAAAATTTCTGAAGATTTATTGAACTGTATCTAATTATCACAATGGACAGTGCCACTCACTTAGTGACCTAGGTGTTTTTCAAAACTGTTTATACAGGTAGATGTGACCACAGCACAGTGTAAAAATGTAAAATTTTGAGAGCAAATTAAATGTGAAATCATTGCAAAAATAAATCTTGAAAAATTGCTGCACTGGGAAATCTAACTAATAATTTATTCAGAGCCTGAATAATTGATATCCAATAAAAGTTATATAGCCTAAGTGAAAATATAAATAATAACATCGGTTTTGTTTCCGGGGTCATAGTTTATGGGCTGTGACCAAGAAGAAATAATTTATTTCTGATAGGGACATAATCATTTGCACTTGCTCATTTTAAACCTACTTCTTTTTTTGTTTGGTTTGTTTTTTGTTTTTGTGGGGGGGTTGTTTGTTTGGTTTTTTACTTTTGTTTTTGTTTTTGTCTTTTTGAGACTGGGTTTCACTATGCTGTCCTTGAACTTATTTTGTAGCGCAGGCTGGCCTGGAGGTCATGGCAGTCCTCTAGCCTCAGCCTCCTGCGTGCTGGAATTCCAGGTGTGCCCTACCAAGTCAGGCCTCATATTAAGCATATTTAAATCTATCGATACACACAAGTATCTTTAAAAAGTTCATGCCTGCGTTGAAAGTTTTCATGTAACACATTGTCATATGAACTGTGGTGTGCACTAGAAAATTTTGCTTTACAGCAGTGGTCAAGTACAAAGATAAATATCTTCTTTGTGTTCTAAAAAAATTAATTCTTCCACCTGTATCAAGATGTAATTCTTTTACCACATGTATTGGAGATAAAATTATTAATCCCCTATACATTATTCTGTTTTGTTTTAGTAAATGTGTTTGCTGTGAATTCACAAAAATAACTGAATTAATAATAATTTATAGTATTAGTTCTGTGAATTAATAATAAAATATAAGTAGTATTGTATATAAAGATGGGAAATTTATGTATAAGGTTTAACTGTGCAAAATTTAACATTTCAGCTATAAGCTATATATAATACTTCTCAAATATATACATCATGTATATCTGGCTTTCTGTTACTCCAATAAAGAAGACATCTACATTTTTTATTTTGTAAATTACAAGAGAAATAAAAAGGGGACAAGTGATGTACCTACTCCTTTCTCTGGGTAAGTGTTATTGACACTAAATCCACATGTTACACTAATTTAACCTAAAATAAGGAGATCTTTTCCAGTCAAATCAAGAAGATTTGGTAGCCATTTTATTCCTAGAATAATGTCAGTTGGAGCAGCGAGATTATGACACTTAAAAAGTCTGAGGCAGTATTTGGAAAACTGCTTCTAATTAATAAAAGAAACAAGATCCTGAATTCTTCATAGCATTTCTACACTACGGAGACAAAAGCCAGGGAAATTACCCTTAAGAGTGAATGAAGCCAGTAGGAAGTTCAACGCTGATTTCTGATTTTTTTAAAGCAGCAGTACTTACTTCTAATTCTTACAAAATGCTTTTGAATCCCCTGGGAGGAATTGTGCCGAAGTGGCTCCTGTGGATAGAAAACTACAGGAATGAAGTCCCAAGAGAGCAAAGCAATGAATTATTTATTTTATAGATAATATTAAGTGAGGTGTTTAAGGAGAATTAAAATACTATTACAAAATCTAACCACTGAGTCTCAGTTTTGTTTAGCTGGAGAACTTAGTTGGTCCAAAATTTTGAAAAATATATAAGACTTTCTAGTGTCTCTCATTAAAATATCTATAAAATTTGAAATAGATGCCCCTGAAAAGAGGCTCATTTCACTGACCCTTTTGTGAGATTTATGGCATGAGAATCACATATCCAATTCTATCTGATTAAGGAAGTTTTATAGACACAGAGCTAGAAGAAAATGGAACTATCTGAGCTGTGCCTATAAATACGGTGTGAAGCGACAAGCCTTTCAGAAGTGTTTATTAAATGAAAAATGGTTTTCTCCCCCTGACTGCTGTATTTCATCAGGGGCCCCAGAGTTCTCTGTCAATACCCTTTCACACACATAATTGTCACCACATAGGTACTCAAACCAGCAAAGGCACCTTAGTCTTAGTGCTTCTCTGTCCTCAAAACTTTGAGGGAAATTATGAATCGATAATATATTTGCAGGGCTTCTCTAGTGATGATCACCTTGGTCATTGAAACTTATTGGAGAAAAAAAGGAAAGAAGAGGGCTCACAAGTTTCATGACCCATTCAATGGCAAGACCAACCCGATGGGTGATTTATTATGGCCCAATACATTTCCTGTCCTCAGAAATCAGTCACAATAAAGAACTCTTTTCTCTAAAACTACTCTCTGTGTTCTCCTCTTTTGGCCTCCCTTGCAGACAAAGCTTGAAGAGGTGCAGTGTATTTTATCCTCTGAAAATTCTAAGATATTTAGTTAATGAAAACATTTTAGCATAATTTAAACCTTTTTAAAAGATGAAAGTGAAATGCAGCTTGGAGTTTTAGAGTTTCTTAATATTTTCTGTAATATCTATAAAGCATCTTTTCATATGGCAGGTTTTAGGATAATATTTTTCCATTATGTCTTAAATTTTCTACAAATATTTTTGACTCCAAGAGGAAATTTTTAGAAATTTGAAAATCACAATTAATATGATTGATTTTGTATTTGTATTTCCATGTTCATGCCAAAATTCATATTTGCTGTTTGATTTTTTATCTACATGTTCTTATTTTGGATGTTATACAAACATCTACATGCATGTTTCCCCCAATATACAGCCATGAGTTACAAGACTTTTGTCAGTATAGCTTAGTGTTGCTTTGATGTAAATAACAGTTCCAGTCCATGAAGAAAACCAGGAGGGCATACACTGCACTTGCATAGCTCTGAAATACATCGCCTAGAATAATTACTCGATAACAGGAAGATATTTGTTAGAAAAATCATGAGAACCATGGCATGTGACCCCAGCACTCTGAAAGGCAGAAGGCAGAGCACTACCCATTTGAGCCCACCGAGAGCAATTTAGTGACTCAGTATGACCCTGTCTCAGAGTAAAATACTTAAAAGAGGCTGGAGATGTAGCCCAATCCCTTGAAATTCCTAGCATATTTAAGTTGGAAGTTCTTAGGGGCTGGATTTGTTTCTTAGGTATTCTGTAACAAACACAAATTAAATGATGTAAAAACCACAAAGATTCATCTCAGCAGTATATACATGTTCGGAACAGAGGTGTCAGAAAGATCTGGCTGCTGGGCAGGATGGTGAACCCCACAGCAAGCCTTTGCTTACATAGTGAATTTAAGGCTGGCCTGAATTACATATAGATACCCTATTTAAAAAAAGTAAAATCTGAAAATGATAAAGGACAAATATTCCATCCTCTGCCTGACTTCTGGTGGTTTGCATCAACCTCTGAAGTTCTTCAAGCTGCAGGTGCCGTGCGTGAATCTCTGTCCTGCCTGTCCCCATGTGGCCCTCTCCATGACCTTCTTCCTT